TACATGATCATTTGGGCAGTGTAGAGTGTTATGTTTCCACCTAGGGCCAGAAATAAGACTCAGATCCCATTCTTTAACCAGTAATCAATGTCCTGCAGTTTCAAGTTCTGGTTTTACAAGCTGTGAATTATGAGGGACCATCCTGAATAACTTTCAAGTCTGTTAATATCTGACTAGCTACTAATATCCATGTTTGGAAGAGGTATAGCTCCCTGGTCTCTGAGATGAGTAGAACCAGATAAGCTTCTGTGCTTTGTGTTTTAGGACTGATCATGTATCTTTTCTGAGTATCAGTCTTCTCGATTTTAAGACATAAATAATGATAAATGCCTATATTTTTGTATGCCTGTGTGCATGAGAGGCTCGGGCGAGATGATTCTTTCAGTTCAGGGGTTCAAGATCAGCCTGGAATACAGTAAGAGACCCTGTGTCAAAAAATAAGTAGGACCAGAGAGACAGCTCAGCAGTTGAGAGCACTTGCTACTCTTGCAGAGGACCTGGGTTTGGTTCCCAGTACCCACGTGACTGCTAACCATATACAGCTCCAATGCAGATCCAATGACCTCTTCTGGTCTCCATGGGCACTGCACTCACTTGTTACCCTTACATACATGCAGGCAAAACACTCATGCACATAAAATAAAAACAATAGATTAAATCTTTAAAACAAATAAATAAGCTAGGCATGGTGGTGCACACCTTTAATCCCAGCACTCTGGAGGCAGAAGCAGGCGGATCTCTGTGAGTTCAAGGCCAGCCTGGTCAACAAAGTGAGTTCTAGGACAGCTGGGGCTACAGAGAGACCCTGACTCAAAAAGACAAAAAATAAAATAAAATAAAAAACAAGCTGGGTGTAGTAACACACACATCTATAGTCCCAGCACTCAGGAAGCTAGAGCAAGAAGATTGTTAGTTTGAAGCCATCCTGGGCTCCACAGCAAGACCCTGACTCAAAAAAACTTCTAAATAAGTAAATTAAAACAAAACCAAAAATAAATTTTCACAAGATAAAAGAATTAAATGAAATAGAACACATGAGAGTTCTAAACATACAGTAGGCATTCAATGAATACATACATAAAGGTTGACTCCAGATATGCACAGCTTGAAAATGAAAATTTCCAGGATCACCCTGCTGGTATAGACAAACTTGAAAATATGCTCAGCACATCAGGCTTTGATGAGTAATTCACAAACATTGTCAACTTGTTCGGGGTGGTGAAGTGGCAGATCAAAAGAAACCAGCACCATGAACATTTCGTAAAGAAGCTAACTGCCTTAGAAAAAGCTATTTCAACTGGCTAAAGTTTTTTTTTTTTAAGTTTAGTATGCTCATTAATGTCCCAGAACTTTTAAAAGGAGAACAGTTTTTCTCCCACACCTTTTAAAAACCATACTGTGGTAAACACAGGTCATGTATTTAGTCCTAGAAATGGTGCCTATTCCAAAGGCTTTTTATATCTAACCAAGCAGTTACTGATGTGCCCAACAGGTACTTGTCCAGCAATGATGACAGACCACTAGAAGCTAACATGAAGCATTAAAGAGTATCTACCCAGACAAGAAGCACA